GATGGCAGCAGCACAGTTGATATTTCTCTCCAGGATGGTGTCACAGCTAAACAGGAACAGATGATGTGAAGCTACTTTGAGAGAAAGCAGAGATAGCATAACGTTAGAGATTTAACTAACAGATTCTGCAGAGTGGGAGAATGGAGATAAGATGAAGCACTATGATTAAAAATGGGTCCCTATGTCCTCCAGAAGTCTAAGCCTATAGCAGCACAACTATAGAGATAGCTGAGCCACTCTAACTATAAGCTTGATAAAAAAGGAAAGTTTAAGCTTACTCTTAAAAGTAGACAGGGTGTCTGCCTCACGAACTAAAACTGGTTGTTGGTTCCACAGGAGAGGAGCCTGATAACTAAAAGATCTGCCTCCAATTCTACTTTTAGAAATTCTAGGAACCACTAGTAAACCTGCAGATTGAGAGTGAAGTTCTCTGTTAGGAATATAACGAACAATCATATCTCTGATATCAGATGGAGCTTGGCCATTTAGAATTTAAAATTTAGCTTTTAAAATTCTATTCTTGATTTAACAGGAGGCCAATGAAGAAGCTAGTATAGGAGAGATATGATCTCTATTTTTAATTTTCATCAAAACTCTGGCTGCAGCATTTTGGATCAGCTGAAGGTTTTTAAATACAGTTTGTGGACTTCCTGATAGTAAAGAATTACAAAATAACAGATGTCTGAAAAAAAGCTGTAGCCTCAGTGGTTTTCATATAATAAAATTCTATTCAGGGATACAGGAACTAATGGATTATTGATGCAAGATTTTAGACCCTTTAATCTTATCAAATAAGGAGGGAGATTTTTCAGTTATGTTGTTTTAACAGCAGTGGTTCAGGACATTAATGATTTTGCCCGAACAATCACTTCTTAACTTGTCTTTTTCCTCCACAAAATAAGTACATCAAAGGTGGAATGTTATAAATGTTCTAGCCGGAGATACTACTGCATAAAAGATCATTTCATTATGGCTACTTCTATTTAAGTGCTGAGGTTGCTTTACATAGTCTTTTATTGATTTGAAATAGGCCTGGAATATTTAGAACAGATCTTTTCAATTTATTACTTTACTTGTAGTTGTGGGTTTTTAGAAGTGGGTTTTGTTTGGTGTCTTTGACAACATGTTAAACTTCAGAGGTTTGACGAAGATTGTTTCAGAAATCTCATCGCTAGTCGCTGAGGGAGCCTTGGGCTGAAGCGTGCCACCAGATCCTAACTTTCCTTGTTATTCAACAATCCTGCTTCTTTAATCCATGTTTCGCCATGCCATTAGCTGCGTTTAAAATATTTGTGTGTGCGCGTGCCGCATATGGATGCACTACACCCAACAGTGCTGCTGAGCTGTAATGGTTGTGGCACAATGTGTGGGAGTGGGTGGGGGGGGTAGGCCTTGCGGTCTCAAAGCTGATGGTGGCATAGTGGTGGCATTTGTCAGCTTGCTTCTTCCGCTTGGGCTCCAGATTGACGTCTTGCTTCTTGGCCCTGTTCTGTGGCAGGCTAAAGGTTCCCGACTGAAAAGGTCAGACACTTACTGCTGTTTGCTTAACAGCATGTAACAGTTTCTCTCAGGGGGAACCGGCACACAACGCAACAGGCCCAACCATAGGAAGCACTGTTACTTTTTATGCACCTGCAAGAGAGTTCTGATTGATTATATTTTTACAATAATTACAGCTTGGGAGAGAGGGTAATACAATTATTTTTGAAATATTATGTATATATACTGATATGTTTTTCAATGTATGCATAGTTTTACAGTTGCTGAAGCAAAGTAAATAAGAATTGAACATTTAAATTAATTAGCTATAAAGATTTTTTTATTGAAACATACTCCATACTTCACCAGGTATCCTCATACATGTAGTCCTGTGAAGCATTGTTCCTTTTTTTGTTCCCCACTGATTAATTTAGTTTCTACATTTTTGCTATTAAACTATTTGTTGTGGCCCAGCTTTGATAAAACAAAAAGATTAAAATCCACAAAGGCCACAGATGCACCATGGACTAAGTAATTTGCGCAGGCAAAAGAAAAAATGTTACAGGTAAACTCCTTTTGTTTTCTCAGTTTTATTTCTCCTTAGGCAAGCAAACAGAAAAAGACAAACATTTCCTCCATATAAAAACACATATGCTGACTAAATAAATACATGACTAAATAACCAAAAAACATAATATCATAACAGATTAAACAAGAAAGTAGAATAAACTTAGCTGAATGATCACAAAAACAAAAAAACTTTGTTAATTATTTACAAAAGATAATTGGCTGCTACTCTATTCTTATCTAAAGGTTATTATCAGACATCCTGGCATTGATTATTTTCCTTTGCTGAAGGGGGATTTCCACATCTCTATGAAATTAAACTCCACATATTGAGCTAAGTTTTGTGAGTCAATCAGATTTAGGCTTGTTTTTGTTTTAGGCCCATTGTCCTGCTGAATAACTGAAGGTCACAAACTGAAGTTGGGAATTACTCTTCAGGAATTATCTCTCTGCTGCTCTTATATTCTAGTTCTGTGTTAATTCTTTGATAGATGTACAGTAAGGGGAAGCACACTGACCCAAAATTTTCACTTTCGTCAGGTCTGTCCACAAACTGTTTTCACAAAAGGCTTCATGATTATGGTGATGTATTAAGGGAAATTTGAGATGTCTCTTTATGGGCAGCAGTGGTTTGTGCTTTTCCCCTTAGGCTCTCATAAACATTGATGATGCCTTTCACAGTGATTTGATGTAGTCCTGAAGCTTTAGCAATAATACTAACTGATGTCAGTGCATGTGTTTCACAATGCCTGTTCCAATTCCCTGTCATCCTGGTCTTGGCTACCACAAAACAGGCTCAAAGACTCACTCAGGAAAAAAGACTTTCACTCAGTTTCTTAATTCTGGAGCTTCACACAAGAGCCTGTTTTCTGGTCGCCATGACCCGGTTGACTGAGAATTTGCACAGGTAAGTTTACAATTTTGAAAAAAAAGGTGCTACAATACCATTGCCTTCTTTGTAGGGATGTTTTACAGCTGCTAAATGATTTGTTTTTCCATCTGATATTTGTTATAGCTGTCAAGATTTTTAAATCTCTTGAGCCCTGTCACACCTTGATTTAGCCTATGTATGCCTGGCGTACCAGATGTGTTTTTTAAATTTTGGGTGTATACAAAGCATATTTATAGTCTAGAGTCCGTAGTTCCAGTCCAGAACTTATGTCCAATGACAGCCTAACTTATACATAACACATGGCAGCGTAATGCCCATAAAAATGTCACAAGCCAGTGTCCTGAGGTGGGGCAGCAATGTGCCTGGAGGCGCCCAGCTTGCATAAAAAGATGCCTTTGATTGCGGTATTAACTCAGCTGCTGTTTACCGCCGCAAAATGAATAAAAGAAAAAAAGAAAAATAAAAGAGTTAAAGAAAGAAAGAATGTTTGTAATCGTAGCAGAATCAGGATCATGTCTACTGGTAAATTTGTAGGTTGTGGGCGTGAAAGCAGGGAGGATTCATCCATCAGCCTACAACTGGAACACAGTCAAATTGATGAGATCATGCTGATGTTGGAGGACAGCTAGTCTGTATTCCCGTCTCAGCTTTGCCAGATCCTCAATCTCTTCTGGAATTTCTGAAGTCTGGAGGAGAACTGACGGTTTCCTCATGTGAACCCCCTTTGATACCAAAACGCGGCAAATACGCCATTAAACAGTAGCTGTGAGTTAGAAACATGTTCAATGGTCGTCTGGAACACGTCAAATATATTGATATGTGTTGGAGATAAGTTCTTGATAAGTTACGCATAAGTTATACACAAGTTACTCATAGGTTTTGGATAAGCTAAACACCACGACTTAGAGGTAATTTACACTTAATGTATGTCGATGATCAAATAACTTACCTGTAACTTGTGGCCCACGTATGAGCATACGCTGGCATACGTCAAGTACTCGACACACTTACCATATAGCAACGTTTTCCAGCGTGCTTCAGTGTACTTCAGCATGCTCATAACTTATACAAAGCTGACTGTCACTACTCGGTCTGCACCATCAGCTCATTTGCGCATGCACATCCAGATATACATCCAGCTCGCCCTCGATTTAGTTTTTTTAAAACGACCTAAATTATGTTCCCTCCCCAAAAATAGTAAGCATGCTAAGCTAATATGTGTTAAATGTATTAAATAATGTATTTCCTGAGAAAATAAATCCCATAAAATCCTTTCTGTTTTATCGCTCATCTCTGCCCGATCTCCACTGGAAATGATATCCTACGCTACTTTCGAGAAGCTAACTTTTTTCAGCTTTGGATTTAAACATAAATCTAGTTTTTTTTACTTTTATGTTTTCCTTTTGTGTTAACATTATGGTATATAGTGTGTAATCTAAAGAAAGAAACAACTAAAATGCAGATGAACATGGTTTAATCATAATTTGCCTGACTACTCTGAGCATGTCCAATAATGACTTCAGAAAAGGAGTTTAACGGCAAAAATGTAAGAAGCATCAAAATTGTCTCAGTAAAGTCATAAAACATTTTTTTAAAGATGTGTATTGGCATTCTTTAGTGAGTTAAGGAGAGAAATAAGAAATTTTAATACCATAATTACTTTATTTATGGACACTCGGATGTATATCTGTTGGCGCATACGCAGACGGATCGTGCTTTCAAGACAGATCAGGTAGTGATACTGACCCATAACTTATCCAGCGTATGCCAGCGTTATTGCCAGATTTTTCATACTTCAGGCATACGTTGGCTAAATCATCATCAAGGTTTTACAGGGGCTTTAAAGGCTTCCTAAACATTCGAAGAGTTTTCAGTTCATAAGTATTTTATTTATATGTAGTCTTTCTGGGTACATGTTGACTTCAGCTATTGATGTTGTGTGTTTGAACAGTCATTGTAGGTTAAAACTTGTGTTCTCTGAAGCCTGTAATTTTCTGGTTACTACATGGCAGCATGTAGTATGGAATGTGGGCCTTTTTTACTTAAAAATGTTTTTGTTCAGACACTGGCGATTAACCGAGGCGAGAGTCTGAAGATTTTGACAGTGAAGGTGAACATTCCTGACAGAGTGAAGAGCGACTTTACTCAGTGGTGCATCAACAACAGGTCAGAGACGCAATAATACACAGACATCTTCCCACACACAGACACGCATGTCTGCAGCGTTCAATGTCTCAGTAAAGATGTCAACAAGAGGTTGTTTTACTTTCCTTCATCATACCAGAGTATAACAAGCTATTGTATAAGTAGAAATATGTACAATCTTTGTTTTTTCACCTGAAATTAAAACAAACATGAAAATTTTAAAGTTTTTATTGGTAAACTGTTTATTTGACTCATGTTCTTCTGATAAGAGTTCAGTAACTATAAAAATTATGAGGTAACAGGTTTTTAGCAATGCTAACAACCTGTTTTTATTGTTTAAATTTATGTTAAGATTAACCAAAATAAACCAAAGCCATGTTATAATTTTTATTTATTTATTTTTTGCTTTGTTATCATTTGTTTTGAATACAGGTGGAGGACAAAGACATTTGCAAGAGAGGAGCTTCGTGCAATCATCACAAATGCAGTAGAGGACTCCTATAAAAGGCTTATTCTGCCCTTCCTCACTCGAAGCTATAGGTATTTTTATTTATATCATTCACAGTTTATTTAAATAAACCTGTGTTTTATGTCAAATACATTTTTGATTGAAATGTTTTTGTTGGTTGATAATAATAGTGCACACAAAAAGTAGAAATCTACATATTTGTTATGCAAATGAAGATCAGGCTTTTGCAGTTGCCTTCCTGTGACTCTGGAACAACTTACCCTTGGATATTCAAACTGTTACAGATATTGCTCTTTTTAGGTCCCAACTCAAGACATATCTGTTCAGGCTGGCTTTTAATATGTAGCAGTGGTGTGACGATTTCTTTCTTTTGTTTCTTTGTAACCTTTTTGATTTTACTGTTTTCTGTGTTCCCTTTTTTTTATTTTTATGTTGCGATCCTACTCATTTTGTTGAGCATTTTGGGTACCTGCTGGTTGTTGTTAAGTGCTATATAAATACATTTTGATATTTTTGTTGATTTCCGATCATAGCTTTTCAATAGTGACGGCAAATTCTTAATAGTTTTTCATTTGAATGAAATCAAGCCTTTTTAGAGGTTTCTTAGTTTTTTTGGATTAATTATTTACAGACCTACCTCTTCCCCATCTAAATCGAGAAGTTTTCTTAATTATTACCCAAAAATAATCCATATTTCCCTCCTTTGTCTTCTTTCTTAGTGATATATCTCTCCTTTTAATCCCACTCCTTAGGACTAAACTCACAAGTGCAGCAGAAAAGGAATCAATTGCCATGTTTGTGCGAAACCTCCGCCAGCGCTTATTAGTCTGTCCAGTCAGGGGCTGTGTCATAATGGGGGTGGACCCTGGCTTCAGACATGGCTGTAAACTGGCTGTCCTCTCACACACAAGTAAGTAACACAAAGCTCACCCTGTTCACTCTGTACACTGCATATCCTTTAATATTTACTATTCTCTGAGAGTGTCTTTGAAAACCGATTTTCTTAATATATCTTAAAATTTATATTAATATTTTATATTAGACAATATATATTACAGACTGGTATGTTTATGTTTCACTTTGAAAATACTGCCAGGTTCTTAATTTAGTCCATGGCTTTGACTAATAAAGGATGAAGTTACTCCCACTGTCGACTATTTCATAGAAATTTAGTGTTGCCAACGAATATTTGTAATAAATCTTTACACTATAAAATGATAGAATCAGTCAAATTGTAAGACCTTCACTTAATTGAAATGTATGTTGTTTAGAATGTATGTAAAACCTTAGTTTAGTACGTTGCTGCAAGCATATTTTTCAAATGATGGACATTGTAGTACAGATCTTAGAATTATCTTAACATCTTATTTCTGGTGTTAAGGTGTCAAAAATCTGATTGAAACACAACGTTTCCTCAGGGAGCATGAAACCATCTGTCAGTTGATTTAATTTTTTATTATTCCCTAGGTTTTTTGCGTAGGAATACATTTAGAATTAATCCATTAAGAAAGAGTCATATTCTGTCAATCAAAAATGCAACCTTTAAAATAATTACATGAAATTGTCTATTATTACACATCTCTGCCCTTCACTTTTATGCAATTATATAAATGAGACTTGGGGACAATGACATGGCTTTTTCTGTTTTCCAAATCACAGCTAGACATCTATAAAAAAAAAAAAAAAGAAGAAAGAAAACCCCCAAAAAGGAAAAACAGTAACCGAGCAAACAAAAAACAGCCTGGAAGATTTTGAGACTGGTTTCTCTGCAGACACAGCTGTTTGCTTTTAGAGATCTTATCCTGTTTATTCCTGAATAAGACAATGTTTTGGCAGCGAATAGAAATTAACGATGTGCTTTTAGTAGCACATCTTATTGCTGTATTTCATGTCTGTTTAACGTCGTGTCACTCCCATCCTAGTTTTAGTTGCCACCTTTTGGGTCTCGTAGATTTGGAAATAATGCAAAAAAAAAAAAAAACGTATTATTTCTATTAAGTGGTTTAAATCATGTTTGATACCTAGTGCTCTCAAAAAGTAGATCTGTTCCAACACTAAGTTGTTTGTTTTTCATGTTTATCCCGATGTTGAGCATGCTTACGCGCTTTAAATCTTCTCATGTTTCCCAATGTGTTGCTTCATACATTCCAGAGGAAGCTCTCACCTTCAGGCTGAGCTGGTGTGTTCAAAAGGCATGCTGACATATATCATTTATTGGGTCTATCATGGTGTGACTGGATGTTTGTCTTTCTGTTTTATTTCTCCTTTCTGAGGAAGCAACAGTGTTGTTACAGCAGAGCTTGTTGAGGTGTCTTATGCATTGAACTAACAGAGGTAGTGGAAGCCTCAGTGTATTTTCCAGTTAAAATGTGTAAACCATTTATGACCAGTTTATGTTTATAATGTATCAACAACATTCTGGCTATTCTGTTTGTCTTTGTTCCAAGGTCAGATTCTGCATACCGATGTTGTGTACCTGCACAATTCAGGACATCAAAGAGAAGCAGAGAAATTGCGCCACCTTATGATTAAATACGGGTACTGCTTCTAAATAGTTCATATCAAGAGTAGAATTAGATGTCAAGCATTGTTTTAAACTAATTTGGTTAAAGTATTGTTTGGAAAATAACATTATTAACTGTTTGAATTTGACCATATTGTATTGAAGTAATCATATCCCTTCTTATTTCCTTTCTATTTCATCAAATAGTTGCACAAAGGTAGTCATTGGCAACGGCACAGCTTGTCGTGAAACTGAGTCCTTCTTTGCTGATCTCATCTCCAGACGGTATTTTCACCCACTGGATGTGTCCTACTGGTAAGATCTGAATCAGCTACATGCTAGCCACACATGAAGTTTAATATAAAAACTGTTTATTCAGAGTTAGATATATACTTTGCTGTAAATTGAATATAAAATGCTATAAATTATTTTACTCCATAGAAAATTCAAATGCAAAATGTTGCTTTTTTAAACTATATTTTTGGGCATGTTGCATTTTGTAACTTAAATACACACAGCAAAGTCACTCAAACTTATTGATGATAAAGACCTGACGATAACACGATGGCAAAATATTCAAACTCTTTTTGATCTGTTTTTAAAATCAGTTTGATTATTTGCCTTTATGTCTTATAACAAAGCACACTGCAGTGCATGATTTTTCTTGATTCCCAATTTGTTCTTCTAATATTTATACATTTAAACTTCAAAATAAGATATTCTCTAAAGTAGATTGGAGCTTTATTTATTTATTCATCATACTTAAGGGACTTGATCCTAGCAAACATCCAGATTAAGAATGTATCAGTTGTATGAGAGAGGTAAGAAATGTATCTAATTTTAGAAAGCAAATACATTTCCAAGAAAAATGTATCCCTAAAGGAGGGAGACGACTTGGAATCTGTCCTCAAGTGAATACCCATTAAAGCCATCTGGAGTTTGTTTCACTTCAGTCCAATTAAAGAGAAGTCTTGTGGTCCAGGTCTCGACTGTAACCAAATCCAGTCCAAACTTCAGAATTCAACTGCACAGAACCTCTGTCCAAGCATAATAACCACTGCCCGCTGTTTGCACCATCTCCTTTACTCACTGCTGAGTTTCATGTGTGTTTGTTTACTTGAGGTCGGCAGTGGGACCACAGCCGGACTTCATTTTGAGTCCATTTGAATGTTTGTACGAGTTTCTTTCCTGTATTTTTAAGTTCATATTTGTGCATATATTTCAGAGGTCATGCTATAGGAGCAGTGCTGTATTTTGATTTGTGACATTAAATGTACTTTTCAAAAGCAGAACCAAAGCAGAGCATTTACAAAGTTAACATCCAGTTTATTATTTTTCCATCACTCC